AACGAACATTCTGGGGTCATAAGGGATACTTGGGGAAGAGGGAGGGGTGGTGGTGAATAGTGAAGTCCGGGAGTGAAGTTAAGGGGTACTGAAATCTTTCTTTTGATATTTAGTGCTTGAATGGAGACTTGTTTCCACTCCCCGCATTCTAGTAGAATTTAAATATTTGATCCAAAGGAGTTATTTTAAATCAAACTTGCATTCCGATTAATTAACACTCCAATGATTGTACCGCTTCACTATTGTCTAAGATAATTATAATGAATTCACGGGACACTATAGTATATATAGTATATTTAAACTTTAGTGGTTGGATGGAGACTTGTTTCCCCATCCGGTACACTAGTAAATTTGTAAATTTTAAATATTTGATTTAGGGAGGTATTTGCAATCCAACTCTGATGATGCAAGACTAGTCAACCAAGACTAAATTATGAACTTATTATCATTTAGACTATTGAGTTCATTAAATTATAATTCCATAGATATCATATTTAATCCTGTCAACACAATAATGGTATTAATTGGCATGATATGTAGTCAGAGACGGTTTAAAAAGTTGTTTAGGTTAATGATATAGTATTAGGAAAAATCCTAACTCAAAGTTTTTGTTCTCTCGCAATCCAGAGCAAACCACTCGCCGGGCAAGCATTCTTTAAAAACGTGAAGTTTTCACCATGTTGAACAGTTTTGAAAATTGTCCAATTTGAACCATCGCCTTGTATATTTCTGTAACTGCCCCCCCCCCCCTTGACACTCGAGTGTAAGAATCCTTTCCACACTGTCAATGGTTTTACAAAATAGTTCATGTCAGGAAGGGGGAGGGGTGAGTGTAGAGAACAATCACTGACTGCGATTTGTATGATTGAACATTATACACTTATCATAAATTCGTAAAGAATAGTTTTAAAATAAACAGCTTGTTTTATTTTATGATTGGAGTGATGTATGCATAGAAGAATGACACTGGTTTTGAAATATCTTAATTATCCCATTGAATGAAGCCATCCGTCCCTCTGTCCATTTTTAAGTCATACTGGTGGACTGATTTGATTTAAAGGAGAAGTCTCGGTGTAGAACGTGTACACACTAATGGGAACGAATTTTACTCATTTCTATTTAGGATTCGTTCATATACTAGCGGGGCTTTTGAGCATTTACAAACGCACGAATTGTATTGTTTTAAAGCAACTTTTATGACATATAATGTATTTAAAGCTGACTAATTTTAGATTATATTCGGTTCAATTTTACAAATAATGAATAGTATTACAGTATATCGAAAAATATGTAATGATTTACATTAAATTGCGCAGACTGCAAGCAATGTACATGGTTGGCCAATTTGCATGCGCGTTCTTGATAATAAGAATTAAAGGTTGAACTTAAAAATCAAACATTTTCTTTTTTAAACATAATAAATCTTTAAATCAAGAAAATAAAAATAAGATTGATGATTGGACTTTTCATAGTCAACTGCGACTGTGTCGACGCATGTTTATTTACTTAGCTAATTAGATATGTAAAATTGTTAATGGCCGCAACGGATAATACGTACATGTAAGCTGTTCGGATAAGACATTTCTAAATGATTAATAACAAATGTTATTCAGCAGAATGTTATTCAGCAGTAACAGATCTTATTAGTTATTATTCAATTTGGATAATAAATCTATTATCTCGTCGTATTGATGTTTATTATATAGTGTTTCTCGTTGTGTGATCCGCTCGATTACAGGTCCTTATTCCTTATTTCATGCATTGTAGGCAGAATCCTCTCGACGTTTTTTCTCACAAACGTGAATCAGTATCATATGTCTTAGAAAATGTACAATCATGTTTGCGAAAAATAGCTCAGAAGACGACAGAATCGTCGATTTAATTCCTAACTTAAGTTACATAAAGGGTTGGGTTAAAAGTGCAGATCTGAACTTTTTTTTTCGAAATACCGTTTATGTAACTTAAGTGAGGAATTAAATGTACGATTATGTTGTCTTCTGAACTATTTGTTTGCAAATATGCACATTTTCTTAAACACATGATACTGATACACGTTTGTGAGAAAAAATGTCGTGGGAATTCTGCCTACAAAGTGTGAAAGGAAAAAGGAAAAATCATACCTTCGATGTTCCCACATTTTGTTACCGAAACAAACCATTTAGGTAACCAGCATAATCGAGTGGATCACTATAATATACTTTAGTAGTCTTTAATAATGTTAGGGAGGATGAGTTGTAAGGCATACTATGTCATGTTAGATCATGATCTATACTATTTTTATTACAATTTACCAGTTACACTTTCTCCATGCTAGGTTCTGTTATAACTTTTTTTCCGTTTCCTATGGCATCCGTGCTTTATACATTTACATTCACAATGGTTCCTTCCTGGTATATTTTTTTAGGTTTTATGACTGTTAAATTCTATAGTCTTGTTAAGACCACTTATTAAACAGGTTTATTATTACTTTTATCACTGTTAAATTATATATTCTAGTTAACAACACTTTATAAACAGGTTTATTATTACTGGTGTAACTAACACAACGAAAAAACATATAATTAATTTATTTGATTTTATATAACATGAAATTATTTTTTCTTTTCGATAAAACATTGCTTATTAGAAATATATTTAGTTGAAAACTTAGAGTAAACAATCAGTTCTATCACAAAGTTTATTTTGGTTCAGTAGATTTTTCTATACATTATTTTTATGTCACCACCACTAGTGATTGGGTGACATATTGTAATAGCTTCGAACGTTTATCTTGACACTGTTCAGTAGTTAATGTGTACTGTATACTTAACAAGGTGTGGTGACATTTTGCATGTTTCTGCATCGTCACTACTATTGAAAGCTTATGTTGATATTGTAGCTGTGTTTTTTAAGTTCTTTTTGTTGGTACAATTAGTTTCCAAACCCTATACTTATATCGATCTGACACACAGTTTTAGTGCAGGTTTAAGTGATTTTTGTTGATTATTAAACGCAAAGAGCACATGTGTCTCGAACTCGCAACATTGTGGATACAGAGCCCATTCACATAGTTTGACATGCTGGTGCTCTGAACCAGCTCGTTAGTTAATATCTGACTAAGAGACAGCTTGCTTTCCCGATGAAGAAACGTTATCTGCAGCTTTTATGAGTACTATAGTATCTACAACTATTTTTGATCTTATGAGTATTGGATATCATTATTTTCAATTTTTCTTCAACATGTATTTTAATGACTTCAGTATGAATGGAATGTCCCTCGGAGTTGTGGTCGTTGATGAGGAATTGGTCATTGAACGGTGTGGATGCTGTTTATTCCCATATTAGATTATTGTCTTGGGATATTCAGGTTTGATTTTTCTTTGCCAGTTTTACTCTGTGTGATCACCTGTCCATGAGATAATTCAACTGCATGAAGAACATTTCGTTGACATGATGCACAGTGAAAGGTTTTCCACACATTTACATTTTCGTTTAAAAGAGCTTTAATTCCGTTATATACTCAGATCAAGGCCAATTTAGCATACATTTCGCTCTCAAAAATCACTGTGCAATAATGGATTTCAAAGAAATGTTTGACGTTTTCAATAATCTTTTTTCTTTTTGATGAAATGTAGTTATTTATTCTAAAAATCAATCAATGTCATACACAAAATGCATTTAATTGGTACAAAGTACAGAAGCAGAGAAAAAATATGTATTTTAGAATATCACCATGTGTTACCCCCATTGTAGCGCCTCTTGCCCATGTTTCTATCAATATAAAACATGATATCATACACCAAATATGCATTTATTATGTGGTTTAAAATACAAAAAATAGATAACATTCTCCTTAGAATACCACCTTGTGTAACCCCACTTTACTGCCTTTTGCCCCTGTTTATATCAATATATAAGGTAGCATGTAACCTTCCTTGTAACATGTGTAAAAGTTTCAAGAAAATCAGTAACGTGGTTTTCCTGGAATCACAATGACAAGATTTATCCAAAAAACTTCCAAGATGGCCGCCAGAATGCAAGATGGCCACCGAAAGGTTAATTAGCTCTAAAACTTCTTACCATGTAAAATGTGTGAAAATTTGAAGTAAATCCGTTTGGTTTTCTTGAAATCGTGATGACAAGATTTATCTTTAAACTTCCAAGATGGCTGCCAGAATGCAAGATGGCCACCGAAAATATAATGAGGTCTAGGACTTTTTACCATGTTACATGTGTGAACATTTGAAGTACATCTGTTATGTGTTTTTTGTGGAATCGCGATGACAATATTTATCTGAAAAAAATTCCAAGATGGCCGCCAGAATGCAAGATGGCCGCCGCAAAGTTAATCAGCTCTAGAACTTCTTACCATGTAACATGTGTGAAAATTTGAAGTAAATCCGTCTAATGGTTTACCTGGAATCGTGATGACAAGAAAGTGAGACTTCAGAATGCCACCTTGTCTAACCCCGTTTTGGTGCCTTTTGCCCCTGTTTACATCAATAGAAGAGGTGTTTTCTTTAAGAGGGATGTCTGTTCTTTCAAACGGTACAATCATTTTATGTGGGAAAGTACCGGACAACAAAACCCCTTTTCTAGAGCCCTTTTGGAAATCAGATCGGGGACTACTATACTTTCTGTTAAAAACACACGAGCATGTTCTTTTTAGTGATACCTTTAAATATTACGCAATTCGCAAGCACTGCGGGCAAACAAAAATACAGCCATAATGATTATGATCAGGATGATTAATGTTTTATTACAGTTAACGCCTTGAGGCATGCGTATTTCTTTACTTTAGCGCATACTTTAAATGTCAGTGTTCCTTTAGAATAATTCAAAAAACTCTTCCATAATATAACATTTCCTAATTCCATTGTACTTGTTAAATTTCATTCTTCCTTTCACCCATAACTTTAACATTGTTTTTAACTAACATCCATATTATATTTGTAAAATCACATTTAATTGATTTGATGTATATGTTGCATTATATCGACTTTGTCAAACTGTAATTACAGGAATGCTGCTATAGAGCAAAAGCCAAGGATGGACTTAAGCCACAAGGGTCCTTAATTGAATCTGGAAAAAATGGCGGCCATTTACAACGATACCACTATACTCAAACACCAACCTTACACAATATATTTGATTTGGACACAGGAGACATATGCTGCAATGGTGCACCAACATGTAAACACTATAACAAATTAAGACCTATAAATAAGTGTAACAGAAAAACTGCTAATAGACATACATAATCAAAATAGTTCACATTGAACCTATATAAAAACATCAATAAAAGTTACAATTTGATTTTAACGACATGTTGTTCTGTGTTTTACTGATTATTAATATGGCTTGACTAATTTGACACGTTTTGGGCGATTTTGAAAAATAGATGAACCAAGCATATAGGTTTTATAGACTGCATTTGCGAATGCGATTTCCGGCTACTGGCTGCATTGTTGATTGTTATTTAATGACCAACTGATTTTTGTTTATGAAAAGAACAAGCCATGTACACTGGTTGCTGCAAAAAACTGAATTAAACCCAATAACTGACATAAATAATGGTTACATCTGTCCAGGCAGCAAGAACGCCGATTAACGATATGCAAATAGCAGAAGTATGCAGTTTTACTCTAAAAACCTAAGTTGGTGTTCGACAATCAAAAAATCCATTTATTCTCTCATTTGGCCTTATTCTAAGTATTCCCTCAATATGTAATATGTTTGGCCGATGCCTTATCTAGCGCCACCTACCTTTTGTCTGTCAATCACAGGAAACTGAATGGAAATCCCCTTCTCTCATATCACCCAAATCATTTCTCCATCGCATTCGTCTCAAATTCCGGCATGGAAGAGATTCTAAGAAAATGACGCCATCGTCATCTCTCTTCCAAAGCGCCCCGTTGGATCTACACACCTTATCTATACACGTTTGTAGTCATAGACTCTGCGGGGCGTTTTAGAAGACAACGGGGCGTTTTGGTCAATTTCGAATAGTTGCGTAGGACTTTTTAAATTGCTGCGTTTAATGTAATAAATATGTTGATGCATCGATGGAGTGTTGTAATGGGAGTCCTTGTACAAAATATAGAGGGGGATAATAAAAGAACTGGCGATATATCGGGGCTTTTTGTTGAAATCTCTGACGATTTGCATCTTCTCACATCTGGGGACCAAAACGCCGCTAAGACGAGGGACTTTGTAATCAAAGGCAATGTCTCGACTGAAAGGTATTTCTGTGAAGGTTTTAATGGAACAAGTTTGAAGAAAAACGGTGTACTAGTGTGAGACTCACAATCATCGGTTTTCCAAAGACAGGGTAGATTTGAAATCCAAATTCACGGTTTTGCGGAGAGTTTTGGTTTCGATACGCCCCGGAGAGTTAGTGCCGCATGAGTATAGGCCTAGTGAAATTAAATTCTTGAGTGGAATTCTTCAAAAAATACTTGCCGGTCTCCTGACCAATATTAAAACTATTTTAAATATTGGGCAGTTTTAAGAATATATTTGGCAATTTAAAAAAGCCAGATATGGCCAAATTACCAGCAGCTTAGAAACGATCAGATTTCAGTACAAGGTGCATAATAACGCAAAATCGCTAAATATCGGTGTAATCTGCCGTTTTAGAACTAAGTAACAATTCCCTGTTTGCTATTTTAACCATGGACTTCTAATCATTTGAAGTCCATGTTTCAACCAAGCAGCTTTATCATGCGATCACTGATCACTGTTCGTCGAATTACGGGTTGTTCGTTAAATCAACTTCAAAATTACGGGTTAATTTGAGAATTGATAGATTAATCCTGAAGCCGACACCCGAAACTGGCATTTATCCTGTGTTTTTCCCTTTGGCCAACAGGGGCCATGAAGGGAAGGGTGGGGTTGGGGAGTGGGGTTGAATTTGCGATAATTTTGAGATGTTTTTGAAGTAAGTTACAGCTAACCTATATTATACTCAAATTGAAGGAATTTGCGTATAGTATTGTTTTCTGATTTGTGCCTCGCATCAGCTTTCTTATATAAAATTTTGATAAAAAAACTCTCGGAAACTTAAATTTCCAATGGTTACATCTGTCTTAGAATATTGTGATTTACAATAGCCTAACTGTATTTGACAACCAAAGTAAAATCTTAGAAAATTATATGTACCAGCGCTTAAAACACACTAGTACAATAATAGCTTGTACGAGCTTGGCAGGGACACTTTAAAGTCGAGAAATGCATGCTCTATTCCTGTTTCATAACATTTCTAACTAGAATTCTCCCAGTACGTACCTAAGTGACCTGATTAAGCCATTCATCCAAAATTCCCAACAGAGGTATTTATTTAGAAACATCCATGATTTTAGGTTACCCCACTGCCGATTAAAAATGAAATCGTCCTCTTTTTCCTTATATTTTAGATAAAATGAACCATTCCCAGCAAGGAACGCAAAGGCATCAGCTATCTTCCTATTTTCATACACAAAAAAAACTATCCCCGTACAACCAAAAGAATCCATTATATTCCCAAGGCAAGCAGATCATCAATCAATCATTCTCGAATTCGTCTGCATCTTAGTGTCTTGATAAAACTGTCCTCGTGGCTATCTCCCGTGGAAGATATCTCAAATTGTCACTTTGACTGTCCCCTTAATGCTGCCCCATGTGTCACCCTAGTGGGATATATTGAGAACACTGGGAACTACCGGAACCTAGCAAAAATCCAATTACTTATACATGGCATTGATAACATATCCTTTGATGATAGTTATACTATTTTCATTCATGTGCATAAGTTCATTGAACACACTCGAAGATTAATCTGACATAATCTGACACAGTTATTAAGTTAACATGATTTTTATAGTGCATATACTGTAGAACCACAGATGATTATAATGGTACAAATTCACTGTTACCTTCTATGTTAAATAAAATGATCAAAGATGAAACAATACACTTGATATGCTAACTACTGATACGGTTACCACTGTAATTCAAAAGCATGTTTAAATCATTATCAATGATGGTTTTTTCCAAAATTGAAGTCAAAGACTGGATGATTTATAGCACATTTCTCATCTACTGTTTTCTGTGAAAAAAATTGAAAGCTGTTTTCGAAAAACAATTTTCGTTAAGAAATCATTACTTGAAAGTGATGCAACCTCAAATGTAATAATTTCGTCTCCAACTGAACATCATTCACCATTAAAATGTAGACTGTAATCGAATAATTGCCATCATTAAATGTTCTGAAATGTTTAATATACTCATCTCATCGACACTTATTATTCCATTCATGTAATTTTCAAGCATTATCTGCAATATAAATTGCTTAATCACAAGTGCCCTTCCCATGTGATTCAATATCTGCAGTTGAAGTATATAATCTCGAGCAGCTAAACTATTAAAAGGAAGGGCATCTTTGTTTCGCATGAGGTTTAATTGCATCATCTTGAATTTTCGATAATTCATTTAGCTGAATGAGAACTAGAAAGTCAAAGTAGGATAAGTAACATCAATTTTTTTTCCAAAATTTATAAAGCAACCGAAGAAATAGTTAAGTCTTGGAAAAACTCTCTACCATATCGTAAATTTTTAGGTCGGCTATATTTTCCTTTATAGTCGATGTGTCATTTTCTGAACGTTTGAATTTGTAAAAACACATGTTTTATAGTGTAATCACTATTATAAGGTTTTATGAAGTGATTTAGCTGGGTTGGACAAAAGACAAACTTTGGGAAAAATGTATATGCAAATTCAGGTGGCCATTATGTTAAAGCAAATTTTTGAAAGCCTTTGACTCAATTGATCGTAACCTTTTTGCTTGATCAACTTTCAAACTATGAAAATCAACTGCGGAATAGAGGTAGCATGTCATAAAAGCTATGTGACAGGACACCGACAAAGTGTCTCATTCGACCATCCTTCATTATTAATCATGGCGTGATTTAGGGATCTGTTTCTTGTTATATTATTTTTCTATCAAACACCTGCTTAAATCAAGTGATTTATTGAATTTGTCACTATTTGTGATGCCGCATATCTAGTTTCATCATACAAAACGTCTATATCTATAAATATGCTAAACTCGCATATATGTACAATATTCTTGTATATTTTAACATACTCCTATTCATTGACACTGAAGACATGGGTCCAAGGGCTATCATTTTTACTTTTTTGGATAGTTTCCACCCAAAGTTATTTTGCCAACCCAATTAAACTTTAAGAATTTAAGGAAGCCACCAATTAGTCAGTTTATTCTATTATACTGCAAGCTTGGTTAACAAAAATATTTTGAATAAATACGAAATGCCAATTATAAAATATGCTAATTTGCAAATATGCACAATATCTAATAAGTTATCCTTATCCAACACATATCTTTTAACATTACTGCAATCATTTAAGATGAAGTGAACTGACGGGGACCTGCTGTGTTCCAGTTGTGTCACCAATTACATCTACGGATTAAGTAAGTGGGACCTACTAGCTGCCAACATAGATATGGCCACCAAATACATCTAGGGATTAAGTTAGTGGGACCTGCTAGCTGCCAACATAGATGTGGCCACCAATTACATCTAAGGATTAGGTAGGTGTGACCTGTTAGCGGCTAACATACATATGACCACCAAGAATTGAGTAAGTGGGACCTGCTGCAAACATAGATGTGGCCACCAAATACATATAAGGATTGAGTTAGTTGGACTCGCTAGCTGTCAACATATATGTGGCCACCAACTACATCTAAATATTTATTAGTAAGTGGCCATTTAAAACGCCATCAGAAAATCATAACCATTTAAAACACTCTGAGAATGATTATTTGCATTATTGTTCGTTCAGGGAGAATCAACGCTGGCTTAAAATCAAAATTCAAGTTTCCAAATGTTCGACAATTTTTTGAATATCATTTTGAAGTTGAATGTGAAATAGGTGGTCATTTGGTCATTTGGCAACATATTGCGGTATCATCGGTGAATATAAAAAATTTTGAAGAGTGAGTTTCGGACAAGTAATAGACAAAAAGAGGGGCATTCTAATCATTTATGTGTATTAGGAAGAGTCGGTCAAAGGATACTCCCTTCATGATCACTGTAGTTTATGTAGTTGTCAGGGAATGTTTAAGAAGATTTGCAACTTATTGTGACCTTTGTTTTCTTTATTTCAGAGATATAGAGGTTCTTATATGAGTACCTGAGCAAGATCGTCCATTCTTGATGAGCTTTGATAATTCTTCTTCGAGTCGCAGACGAGATAAAGAAACATTATCAAAGCGAGTCAAGAATGGACGATATTGAACTTCTGAACATATCAGAAAT